CAGATTTAATTTCTGATTTAATCTGTGAGACAAATTGATTCATTTCCTCTCTCATTTGAACTACAATCTCTCCCATTATGCCTCTAACCTCTTGTGCTGAAAGTCCAGATAGAGGAGGGGAGGGTGGTGGCTGAGCCGGTGGTACATGTTTAGATTGTTGTTGTAACTGTGCAGTGGAAGTTATAGGAGAAGAAATAACCTTGGGTATTGAGGAAGGCTGCTGCCTCTTTGAAGCCATTTTAAAAAGCACAATTGTCACTTCCCTTTCCCCTCCAGCCAGGAAGGGAGGAGGGAAAAAAAAGAAAAAAATTTTTAAAAAGAGAGAAACTATAGTCCTTGAAAGTCCAGAGTAAATCCAAAGAATAAAAAATAAAAGAGCAAACAATTCAAAAGAAAAAATTCTAAGCCAAAAGCAAAAGTAAAAGCAAAACCAGTCCTTAAAAAGGGAAAGTAAAACAAAAGAGAAAGGAAAAAAAAACTCCGACACTTTCAAAGCGCCATCTTAAATCCTTTCACTAATATAACAAAAAAAGGAGGAATAATAGTAGAAATCAAAAAATAAAAAAAATAAACACCTAAATTATAACAAAAAATCCTTTAAACTGCTCCGTCCGTTTAAAAATTACTCACCAGAATGCTATAAACACGGAGATAGAAGCGGCGGTTTCTTTTGCTTCCTAGGAAGCAAAAACAGCTGGGAGGCGGAGATCAGCAGGAGCTCCGAGGGAACACTCCTTTCACCCCCTCTAGAAACAAATCCAGAGGGGGTTCAGGGGTTCTACCTCTATCCCTGCACTCTCTGTCCCTTCCCTTTGCCCGGGAAGGGATTTTCGAGCCGCGGGCCAGCTGATGCACGCTGCGCTCCACGGCTCTGACACTTCCCCAGCTGGATGGCTAAAAGCTAGCCGCCAGCACACCTTACCTTTTATAATTCAGCCAAGGCGTGGCTTCCTAATGCCTTCTCCTTTGCCTTTGGAGCTGCCCCATTGCATTCCTCTGTCCTACTCGCTTCTCTTGCCTGCGCATTTGTGCATCCGGGATTTGTCCCAGCTGTTCTTCATCACTGTCCAACTCAGGCTCCCAGCACAGCTGTGTCTCAGCTTGAGCGTGAGTAGAGGGGCCAGCCTCCTCCTCCGACTGTAAGTCTTGGAGCTCCTTAGAGCCTTCCTCTGACTCTGATGTCACTCCAGGCCCTTCCTCCTCCTCCTCTGATTCCTCAGACTCAGCTGCCGGGTCCACTGGCTGGCGAGGAATCACAACACCAGATTCACTTAACAACTGGGTTTGTAACTTAACAACGGCAGTGATTCACTTAACAACGGTGGCAAGAAAGGTTGTAAAATGGGGCAAAACTCACTGAACAACTGTCTCGCTTAGCCACAGAAATTTTGGACTCAGTTTTGGTCACCTGTATGGAGCAAGGGCTCTTGTCAAGAAGAAAACACTGCTGTGTTTATCCGGTGGGAAAATAAGACTTCTTTCTGAGGGTTTTCAAAGGAATGATATCACTCTGGTGTCCTTGGAGCTTCCAAAGATGGTCCATCATTCTTTAGAAGCCGTGGTGACACAGTGGTTAGAATGCAATATTGCAGACTAATTCTGCCCACTGCCAAGAGTTCGATCCTGACCAGTTCCAGGTTGACCCAGCCTTCCACCCTTCCCAGGTGGGTAAAATGAGGAACCAGATTGTTGGGGACAATATCCTGACTCTGTAAACTCTTAGAGAGGGCTGTAAAGCACTGTGAAGCTGTATATATGTCTAAGTGCTATTGCTACCTCTGCCGTGGTGGCGCAGTGGTTAGAATGCAGTATTGCAGGCAAACACTGCCCACTGCCAGGAGTTCGATCCTGACCAGCTCTAGGTTGACCCAGCCTTCCACCCTTCTGAGGTGGGTAAAATAAGGATCTAGGTCAGGAGTGTCAAACTGCCGGCTCACAGGCCAGATGCATCATAGCATAGCGAGACCGCCTACTACCTCATAGTTCCCTTCGTCCGGTTAGATCCCACAGGCTGGGCCTCCTTCAGGTCCCGTCAGCCAAGCAGTGCCATTTGGCGGGGCCGCGGAGGAGGGCTTTTTCTGTGATGGCGCCCACATTTTGGAACCAGCTCCCCCCGGAGATTAGGACCGCTTCCACCCTGTTGGTTTTCCGTAAGCTGCTTAAGACCTGGCTTTTCCAGCAGGCCTGGGGTTTATGAAATCTGACCCCTGGATGACTGTTCTTGTACTGTTTGTTTTGTTATGTTTTATGTGTTTTTTATTGTTAGCCACCCAGAGTCCTCCGGGAGTGGGGCGGCTTATAAATTTTAAAAATAAAATAAAATAAATAAAACCGCGCCCAACCCATTGCCAGTAATGGGGAAAAAGTCGCGATATGTCGTGACACGTCGCGTGACGATGCGAGTTTGACACCCCTAATCTAGGTTGTCGGGGGCAAAATGCTGACACTGTAAACAGCTTAAGAGAGGACTGTAAAGCACTATAAAGCAGTATATAAGTGCTATTTAAAACTTGAATCATACCTCTGAAAATTGCTATCCTTCTTCCAAATGGGAACACTGAAACTTGGTGAGGGTGGCTGCAACACAGGGGGGTTTACAATGATTACTGTATTAAAAAGGGACCAAGGTCTGTCGTGCCTGAAAGATTAATGCGTGAATTCTGCCAGCAGCCTTAAAGGGATTGCCTCCACTGCGCATTGGTTTTTGCTGCAACTGGGGAACACAGCTATCTTTTTGAACATTATTTCATTAGCCATTTTATTTGCAACGCCTTGCCTAATGGTGCCTAAAATGGAATTTGCCTTTTTTTTCACAGCTGTCTAGCGATGACGGAAGGCTTCCGAGCACAATCTACCGCGTGTGTGTTTTTTTTTCCTAATAATTCCTAATGTGGAATTTGTCTTGTTCAATGTGGTTGATTGTTTCCTTGAACCAGCCGCCATAACCGCATGAGTTTATTTTCTAGGCAGTCAGGCTAGTGAGAGATGCCCTCAGCATCAGGTGGATTTTGATTTTGGAAAAGGTTTGGTACGAAGTGTGTCCCTTGACGGTTGCTTGCGCTGAGTTGTGTTTGCTGTGGCCGTTCCTTCCGTTTAGAAAGATCTATTTTCGTCACAGTAGCCACTACGAACGTCTCATTCTTGCTCCTCACACTTAATTACAACTCTTTGACGACCTTTATAACAAGGTTGGTCCCTCAAAAAGCTTTGAGAATCTCACATTCATCAAAAGTCCTTGGTGCTCTCTCTGAGCTTGGTTGTTTTCTTGCAGACGTTTCATTACCCAAACTAGGTAACATCATCAGTGCTACAAAGGAGGGAGATTTGCGAGAAGGAGGACTGTGGGCTCCTCCTCCTCTTCCTCTATTTCCTCTTCTTCTTCTTCCTCTTCTTCTTCTTTCTCTTCTTCTTCCTCTTCTTCCTCCTCCTTCTCCTCCTCCTCTTCCTCCTCCTCCTCCTCTTCTTCTTCTTCTTCTTCTTTTTCGTCTTATTCCTCTTCCTCCTCCTCCTCTTCCTTCTTCTTCTTATTTCTCTTCCTCCTCCTCCTCTTCCTTCTTCTTTCTCTTCCTCCTTCTCCTCTTCCTTCTTCTTCCCCTTCTTCTTCTTCTTCCTCCTCCTCCTCCTCCTCCTCCTCCTCTTCTTCTTCTTCTTCTTCTTCTTTTTCATCTTATTCCTCTTCCTCCTCCTCCTCTTCTTCTTATTTCTCTTCCTCTTCCTTCTTCTTCTTCCTCCTCCTCCTCTTCCTTCTTCTTCTTCTTTCTCTTCCTCCTCCTCCTCCTCTTCCTTCTTCTTCCTCCTCCTCTTCCTTCTTCTGCTTCTTCTTCCTCCTCCTCCTCTTCCTTCTTCTTCTTCTTTCTCTTCCTCCTCCTCCTCCTCTTCCTTCTTCTTCCTCCTCCTCTTCCTTCTTCTTCTTCCTCCTCCTCCTCTTCCTTCTTTTTCTTCTTCCTCTTCTTCTTCTTCTTCTTCTTCCTCTTCCCAGTTATTCTGTAATTAAGAAAATGTTGGTTTCTCTGATGGGACTCAGCTAAGAATAACAGAGCTGGAAGGGACGTTGGAGATCTAGTCCAACCCCTTGCTCAAGCAGGAAACTGGAATTAGGATATCAGCATTCTTCTCCTGTTCATTTATAAACGTTTTGTTTTTTCTATGAACGATTTTTAATTTTATTCTCATTCGCATAAAATCAATAGCATGCTACTGTAATTAGTTTATGTCAGGGTTTTTTTCCCAGACTGGTGACCGTTGTCATCATTCATTATTAAAAATAAAATGAGAAACCGGTCCAGTTAAAATTGCTTAAAATTATTAAATTAAATTAATCAAGCTAAACTTGATGAACAGTGGGATAGCATCCTTGGCGGCTGGAAGTCCTTTGGTATTGTTTCTGGCTAAGTGAATGTAGAAATGCAGCTTCTGATGATTAAATTAGTTTCAATTAATTTGCCCCTTGGTTTTCAATTAAATATTACTAATTTTAGCTGGATCGAGGCCATTTAACTCCCTCCAGTTTTTTCCTAATGCAGAAACAGGGAAGGGAAAACCTTTCTAGTGTATATGTATTTCCTAACCATACGATGACCAGTTAAGAAAACTAGAAATATGCAGCCTAATGATTAGAAGACTTAGGAGGTGACATGATAGCCATTTTCAAAACATGAAAAGGGGGGGGGTGTCTCACTCTGTTAGCTACCTGGGGCAGAACAAGAACCAACCTGTTATAGTCATGTAAGAATCAATAGTGTTGCGTTTATTGGCATGTGCTTTGGGCAAGACACTTTTGGTGGTTGTAACTGTTGAGTTATGTCCAACTCTTGGCAACTTCAGAGACAAGTGCTTTCTAAAGGCTGGAAGGCTAAGTCAACCTGGAACTGGTCAGGATCGAACTCCTGGCATTTGGCAGAGTTAGCTTGCAATACTGCATTCTCACCACTGCGCCACCATGGAATGCAAAAAAAAAAAATATCTCTGATTCTGGTTAATGTCTTTTTTTCTTTCTCCAGGGGAACCGTGTCCAGAAAACGGCAGAAGTCCAGGCTCCGTGTCCACCCACCACAGTTCTCCCAGAAGCGACTATGCTACGTACGCTAACAGCAATCACGTTGCGTCCAGCAACAATGCTACACCCCCCGAGAGCTTCCCTTCGCATGGCGTGCCAACCAGCGACGTCGTCATCCATCGGAAAGAAAACGAAGGATTTGGATTCGTTATCATTAGCTCCTTAAACAGGCCCGAGTCTGGGTCGACGATGGGTGAGTTAAACCTTCTGTTAAATCTTGTTTCTGCGAGCCCTTTAGTAAAACCCCCGAACAAGCTATGTTGCCAGCAACGATAGTTGCCGACTATTTAACCGTAGTGTTCAGCATTGACTCTCTCTTGATGTCGTTGGAATCAATGAGATCAATTATTTCACTGGGTTTATGTCAATGGAGAGTCATTCAGGGCATGGCTGTCCGAAAGGTGCTTTTTCAAAAGACCACTGGACTTTCTTCTTGAAGATGTTTCGCTTTCCATCCAAGAAGCTTCTTCAGTTCTGACTTCTTCAACGCCTGCCGGAAACAGCAAAGTCCAGTGGCCTTTTGAAAAAGCACCTTTGGGACAAGTTCACTGGGTCGTCTGTTTCAAATGTGGTCATTCCCAAACACGCAAGATTTAAAGAGTTCCCTATCCAGGTGCTAATGTTTCCATCTGGGTCAGGCTCTGCAGCTCTAAAGGAAGGAATAAATATTAAGCATCACATCTCTCAAGCAGGGCATAAAGAACCCAGGTTAGCTATTTGCCGGCCTCATCAGAGTCAGAAAGACGAAAATGTTAGGCAGCGTAAAATGCACTTAGTACAGTATGTCCTTACGGTGCTGTTTTTGGAAAAGGAAGTCTTGTTAAATTACTCGTGTTGAATTACTGTTTTTTTACAATTTGTGCACTTACCTGTCACTTATGACCAAAAAAAAAAAATTCTAATGGGAGAGAGTCAGAAATTCATCATGGGAATAGGACTTTGTGAATCGTTCACCCTTGTGCTAAAGGGGCAATCTGCCTGATAATTCACATAGTATTAAATTGCAGCATTAATGGCTCCCCTTGGAAAAGGATGAAGAGGAATTAGAGATGTGCTTTCCTTGTCTTTTAAAATGGCATAGGAGATAGAATAATAAGGTTAGAAGGTACTTTGGAGATCCTCTAGTGCAGACATGTCAAACACAAGGGCCGGGGGCCGAATGCAGCCCACAAAGTGGTTTCATGCGGCCCGCGAAGCCATCCTGGAAACAGTGAGGGAACGGCTCCCGCTGCCTTGGCCCTGGCCCAGGCCGGCCGGGAGCCAATGTACAATTTTGTGGTGGCCATCTATGCTGAAACGCATTTAGTCTTAGCTCCACAAGGCCGTCCGGAAACAGCGAGGAACCAGCCCCTGCTGCGTCGGCCCCGGCCCCTGGGTGCATGCTGGGGAGGTGTCCCCCTTTGTGAGGAATGAAGAAATGGACCATGCCTTGGCGCTTGCCCCGGTCCCACTCCCTTCTGCCAGAGACCCTCAGATCTGTCCCACTCCTGCCCAGGCCCCCTTGACACGAACGATGTAGAGTTGGCCATGCCCACCCAGTAGGCAAAACCCACTCCATCCACGCCCACCCAGTAGGCCGCACCCATCATGGCCACACCCACCCAGCCCCCTAAGGGCAACCACAATGCTGATGCGGCCCTCAATGAAATTTGAGTTTGACACCCCTGCTCTAGTGTCTAGTCCAACTCCTGCTCAAGGATGAGAGCCGTGTAGCATTTTGGGAAAATGGCTGCCCCGTCTCTTCGGCATGCAGGAGATGAAGCTGAAAAACCCCTTTCGAGAATATATTTTGTATGATCTGTTGACGTTCATACCTGAACTTGGATTTCATGGTAGAAATTTCCCTTGGGTTTTGTTTGTTTGTTTGCAGTTCCCTTGATGCAAGCTTGATGTTTTGAGAATTTAGTGGGATCCAGAGTCGTTCTCAGCCTTACATACCAGAAGACCCAGGCTGGAAGACGTCACTGGATACAATCAAGAGAAAGCTAAGTGAGCTTATGTTCAGTTGAAATCAATGAGATTTAAGCTCAGAGATCAGCACTTAAGCCCCATTGATTTCATAGTTAACTTTCTCTGGATTGTGCCCACTGTATTTCAGTGTTCTCCTCTAATATTTCCATCCGTACTCAAGGCTTTCTTGAGGATCGTATCCTTATCAAAATCAGCAATATTTACCGTACTTAACTACAGGTTTACGAGAAACCTGTGATTGTTTCAGGCCAGCTGGCCATGGGTTGCAGGATATTGCTTATTAGCCATCCCTCACTTACAAGTAGTTGCTGTCTCTCCCCAACGAATGAAATGAGAAATTTTAAAGAGAGAGAGAAATGTATAGATTAAGATGATAGATGATGATATAGATAGATAGATAGATAGATAGATAGATAGATAGATAGATAGATAGATAGATAGATAGATAGATAGATAGATAGATATGATAGGTGATAGATTGAGAGAGAGAGATGATGAAAGAAAGAAAAGGAAGGAAGGAAGAAAAAGAAAGAAAGAAAGAAAGAAAGAAAGATGATAGAGATTGATATATATAAATATAGATTGATATATATATAGAGAGAAAGACAGATAGATAGATAGATGATAGATATAGATAAAGAGATAAAATATAGATAGAAGTTAATTAGATAGATAGATAGATAGATAGATGAAAGAAAGAAAAAGGAAGAAAGAGAGAAAGAAAGAAAAAAGATGATAGAGATTGATATATATAAATATAGATTGAGATATAAATATAGATTGAAATATATAAAGAGAGAGAGAGAAAGACAGGTAGACAGATAGATGATAGATAGATATAGATAAAGAGATAAAAGATAGAGAGAGAGAGAGAGAGAGGTGATGAAAGAAAGAAAAAGGAAAGAGAAAGAAAGAAAGAGAGAGAGAAATGATAGATTGATATATATAATAGATTGATATATATAAAGAGAGAGAGAGAAAGACATAGATAGATGATAGATATAGATAAATAGATAAAATATAGATAGAAGACAGATAGATAGACACAGATAGACAGATTATAGATAGACAGATATAGATAAATATATAAAATATAGATAGATGTGTGTTTGTGTGTGTGTGTGTGTGTGTGAGAGAGAGAGAGAGAGAGAGAGAGAGAGAGAGAGAGAGATAGGCAGGCAGGCAGACAGATACGCTATATTTTGGTTGACATTTTTTTTTTTTTTTACTAAATTATTGTCTGGAAAAGCAAACACCGGGTTTGCATTTTTGCTTCTCTCTATTGCAGTCGCTTTCAATCAGACTAAGCAGATCCTTGTTCTGGAGGAAGAAAGGACGGAAAATCTTTCACTCTGAAATTCTCTTTTGCAATGCATACCTAGAAAACACCTTGATTACGGCCTCTGCGCAAATATCTCTTTGTAGAGTTCCATTAACCCTAAAACATCCACGCCCAGAAACCCATTCACACTCCTAACCAATCATGGGAAGGCAGTCTTTTTTTAAAAAAAAATTGCCGATCTGAGTGTATCTATGATACAACTGCTTTACCTATAATTCAGCAGGTCAAGGTTTGATCATTTGTCTTCTTTTTCCGTCCATTTAACTGCTCAAAATTGCCCTGTCTGGCTATTTTGCCAGAGAAACTTAGGCTCCACTTTTTTTTCTTTTTAACTGGAAAGAGAATGAAAAGGATTTTTTTTAAAAAAAAAAAAAAGATAGGAAAAAGGACTAGACAGCTCTTCTCTGCTTTCGGTAAATAAATATCTGCTGATTTACGAGCCCGTCCCCTGGAAGATTCTTCGGGCTTTAAAAAAAATTAAACAGCAAGTACCTGCATGTTTTATGCGCTTTCTGTCAAAACGAATAGATGAGTGAAAAAGGCAGTGGAGGGAGGGGGGGAGGAGAGCACGAGAATTATTTCATCTGTGCTGAAAGTAATAATATTTCACTGTCCTAGACTAGATAAATGTAAGCTGGATTTAGCCCGAAGTCATTTCTTTAGCAGCGATGCAAATCAGCAGCATCGCTGCCATTATCCAGGATCTTCGTAGGCACCCACATTGAATTTAAGAATTTAAGAGCCCATTATTGGGGCAAAATCCATCACTGTGATCAAAAGGAGAGACTGGCGTTGGACTCTCACAAAGCCACAAAGCGCGCGCACGCACACACACACACACATACCAAAGGGGCAGATTCTTGCTCAGTGTAACCCAGCGTTCAACACTGGCGCTTCCTCCGGCAGAAAGTTCTGCTCATTAGTGCTATTTTTTGATTGACGTTCTCTGCTCAATAGCGCTACTTTTTGATTTACATTTTGGGTGGCTAAAGTCGAAGGGTTTATAGACTGTCCTTGACTTGGGACCACGATGGAGCCCAAAATTTGTGAAACAGGCTGGTGAAAAATCAGCGGTATTAGAAGGATCATCTTGTGCAAAGTTGGGTGACCCTAATTGTATCTAATAAGGCATCATGGTCTACTGTCAATGGAAGAAGTCGGAAAGGCCAACACTAGGTGACTGGCTACAAGGAATTAACATGTTCTGGATTTCTTTGTAGTGTAGCTGTCATCCCGCTGTTGAAAGTTTAGATATGAGAACATGGGATTAAGCAAAAATAAAAAAGAACAGGAGAGACAATCATTTGTAGATGTATTTAACTGATAATTGGTCAAGACACCCTTATGTAGCTTGAGAGGAATTCTGGAAATTAATGGACTGGTGAAATCTCTATTCCATTTTTAGATCCTTAGGGATCTTTTTCTTTCTTTCTTTCTTTCTTTCTTTCTTTCTTTCTTTCTTTCTTTCTTTCTTTCTTTCTTTTTCTTTCTTTCTTCTTCCTTCCTTTTTCTCCTTTCTCTCTCTCTCCCCCCCTCTCTCTCTTTCTCTCTTTCTTTCTTTCTTTCTTTCTTTCTTTCTTTCTTTCTTTCTTTCTTTCTTTCTTCATATGTGACTCTGTGAGGTGACTCTTCTGCTCTACACCAGAGGCAGTAATCTCCTAATTATTCCAACATTTTTGCAAATATATATGCTCATATTTTAAAAATCAGCTACATTCTATAAGTTTCCTTCATAACTGAATTGCATGGTAATTTGTTCAATAAGTACAGATTTAGATTTAGTTGGCATTAGCAACACAAACATCCGTAATGTATCAACAACATGGCATTGAAAAAAAAATTCTTTGCCCAGTTCTACACTGAAATGAAGTCTGGCACCTCTTTAATTTATTTGTTTTAATATGTGCCAGCCACTCCAGAAGATTTGGAGCAGCCTATAAAATCCATAAAAAAGAATAAAACAATTAAGACCCACCTAAACATAAATCAACAGCCTAAATGGAAACAACTGTATTCAGAAATGTTTTGTATGTGAATAGCTAATAATCCAAGTAGTGGGTTTTTTAAGGCCTTAATACAGGGGTCTTCAAACTTGGCCCTTTTATGACTTGTGGACTTCAACTCCTAGAATTCCTCAGCCACCGTGCCTGTCTGAGGAATTCTGGGAGTTGAAGTCCACAAGTCATAAAAGGGCCAAGTTTGAAGACTCCTGCCTTAATATGTTTTGAGAGCTTGGGTTTGTGTGTTCAAGAGTGGCCAGAACTGAAATAGAAATAGTACTTAGTCTTATATACCGCTTCACAGTGCTTTATTGCCCCCAACAATCTGGGTCCTCATTTCACCGACCTCAGAAAGATGGAAGGCTGAGTAAACCTTGAGCTGGTCAGGATCGAACTGCTGGCAGTGGGCAGTCAGCCTGCAATACTGCATTCTAACCACTGGGTCACCACAAAATGCTCTGGTTGTAGAAATGATCGAGTTGTTGTTATTGCTGTTATTTTTGTTATTTCCACACCCCCACCCCCATCCCATGATATATATATCTTTTGGGATTCTTCTCCGTGTTCAATCATGTTACAGCATCCAGTGCAGGTTTTGTCTACTGGTGAGAAGCAATCATGATACCACTACTTTTGAACAGAGAGGAAGCTTGTCTTTTTGTAGGATTGCCCTGCAACGGGTAGTTGTAACCATCGTTGAATTGTTTCTGTCCAGCTAGTTTCCAGGGGACAGCCTGCTGAAAGTGCCATACATTTTGTATCTATGATGGGGCAATCTCTTACGTTCGCTCAGCCATCTTGAGAGAACTTGCAAGCGGGGCCACCATGAAGCTGTAGACTTCCACAATGTAGACAACTGAAGGATTTTTGTACCTAGTCTGTGCCATTGTCACCTTCAGCAAAGACAGGGCTATGAGAAGCTCTTTTGTCTTCTGATGGATCTTCAAGAGAAGATGCATTTCTAATAGACGGTAGGGGTTTTGAAAATACGCCCCCTCATTGTTGTCATTCCTTCCAATAACAGCTGAAGTGTTGAAAGAAAACAACCAAGATGACAGTGGAAGCTCAGGCGGTGAAGAAACCAAAGGACAAAGAGAAAATAACTAGGGCAGGAACAGCTAGGAGAACTTGGGCAAGCTCGGTCTAGAGCAGGGGTAGGCAACCTTGGCTCTTTTATGACTCGTGGACTTCAACTCCCAGAATTCCTGAGCCAGCCATGCTGAGGGGAAAGGGAGAGGTTTCCAAGCTGAGCCATGCTGGCTCAGGAATTCTGGGAGTTGAAGTCCACGAGTCATAAAAGAGCCAAGGTTGCCTACCCCTGGTCTAGGCCTAGGCCGCTTTCTGACTCGTGGACTTCAACTCCCAGAATTCCTGAGCCAGCATGGCTCAGCTTGGAAACCTCTCCCTTTCCCCTCAGCGTGGCTGGCTCAGGAATTCTGGGAGTTGAAGTCCACGAATCATAAAAGAGCCAAGGTTGCCTACCCCTGGTCTAGAGTCTAGACATTTTCCAGGGAGAGCCATTTTGTCTGTCTATAAATATTGTATCTGTTGCTTGCCTCTTATCTACCCCTTCTTTTGTCTTCCAGCCGTACCCCATAAAATAGGGAGGATAATTGAAGGGAGTCCTGCTGATCGCTGTGCGAAATTGAAAGTTGGAGACCGGATCTTAGCTGTGAATGGCCAGTCCATTATTAACATGCCTCACGCCGATATTGTGAAGCTAATTAAAGATGCTGGCCTTAGCGTAACTCTTCGCATCATTCCTCAGGAAGGTAAGTCCTTGACCCTTAAAAATCCAGGAGGGAACTTGACGGAGGAACCAATTAATCCCAACGGCTCTCCTGGGAAAGGGGAGAGATTTTCAGTGGGGTGGGCAGGGCCCAACATTATATCAACGGTATTGCTGGACCCCTGCAGACCATGATGGATACTGATAAGGGGGACTGGAGGCTAAAACATATAAGGAACGGTTGCTGGAATTGGGTATGTCTAGTTTAACGAAGAGAAGAACGAGGGGGGACAGGATAGCAGTCTTCCAATATCTCAGGGGCTGCCCCAAAGAAGAGGGAGTCAAGCTGTTCTCCAAAGCGCCTGAAGGCAGGACAAGAAGCAATGGATGGAAACTAACCAAGGAGAGAAGCAACCTAGAACTAAGGAGAAACTTCCTGACAGTTAGAACAATTAACCAGTGGAACAACCTGCCTCCAGAAGCGGTGAATGCTTCAACACTGGAAGTTTTTAAGAAGAGACTGGACAGCCATTTGTCCGAAATGGTGTAGGGTTTCCTGCCTGATCAGGGGTTGGACTAGATGACCTCCAAGGTCCCTTCCAACTTTATTATTATTATAATATTACCTAATTTAGGTCATGAAATGTCTTCTAGAAAACAACCACACTCAAAGAGCGCCACATTTCAACCCTGAGCCACAAATATTCACCTTTTTTGGCTGGCTGGAATAGAATCTCAGCCCTTCAGATGACAAAATTAGCCCATAGTTCCCCACAAATAAGACCAGGTCTTATATTAATTTTTGCTCCACAAGACGCATTAGAGCTTCTTTTCCGGTTAGGTTTTATTTTGGGGGGAGAAATACGATACTAAATGCGTCAGTCTGGCTGAATCTTAACTGGAGCTTATTTTGGGGGTAGGGCTTATATTATGAGCATCCTGAAAAATCATGCGAGGGCTTATATTCCAATTAGGTCTTGTTTTCCAGGAAACAGGATATATTTGAATCCACCAGAAAAAGCCCTGGATGGAGCATGTTCCTTTGCCTTGTGAGGAAACTAGCCTTGTCCCAACTAGCAATCGGAAATTATCTTTGCAGCCTCTAATAGTTGCACTCTCATTCCATTTTACATTTGTTTGTTTTTCCATGCTGCTTTTCATTTTTGGGGGGGGGGGAAGAATTGATTCGATCAGGGTGCAAAGCCCATTGGGAATCCTGAAACACAGGTCACTGAAGGATTCTGCATTGTGAAGTGCATTGGAAGTCTTCCCTAATAGACATAGGGTTGAAAGTGGCATAATCAATCAATCAATCAGTCAATCAGGCATTTGTACATCTGTTAATCCTTCGGATTGGCTATTGAACATTTATTATTAAATTCAACTGTTATTACTCCCCTTGGCTTTATTTCATCCCATTGCACTTGGGCATGGCTCTAGCTTAATGTCTAAGCCCAGGCTCACCATGGAGAAATCTACCAAAATTTTGTCCTATTCACATTCTAACCAGGTGGGCTAAAGCCACTGACAACTGAAATGTCAACATGCTAAAATTTGTGATTCCTCATTTCTCTTGCACCTTCCAAAGAACTGTGGGAAATGGAATCCGTGTTTGTTGATGTCATTTAGGTTGGCTGATACGAGATTTTGAGGTCCCCCAAAATATCAGTGGAACCGACTAAGTGAAGAGGGGTGTTTTAGATGTAATTTACAAACTATAAAAGCAAAGATAGGTAGGTAGGTAGGTAGGGAGAGAGAGAGAGAGAGAGAGAGAGAGAGAGAGAAAGAGAGAGAGAGAGAGAGATGCTAGATATATAGACAGATAGATAGACATAGAGAGATGAGAAAGAGAGGAGAGAGATAAGATGATAGATAGATAGATAGATAGATAGATAGATAGATAGATAGATAGATAGACAGACAATAGACAGACAGACAGACAGACAGATAGATAGATAGATAGATAGATGTGATAGATAAATAATGATAGATATGATAAATAGATGATAGATAGATAGATAGATAGATAGATAGATAGATAGATAGATAGATGTGATAGATAAATAATGATAGATAGATATGATAAATAGATGGTAGATGATAGATAGATAGATAGATAGATAGATAGATAGATAGATAGATAGATAGATAGATAGATAGAAGAGATTGAGAGATGAGAGAGAGAAAATAGATAGTTTGATTGGACTAGTTGCCTTCTTTTTTCTTCACTTAAGGCCATCTGGAGTGACAACGTCTCTAATCTCTCTTGTTCCACCATGCAGAGGTGAGCAGCCCAGCGTCCGCACCCAGCTCAGAAAAGCAGAGTCCCATGGCCCAGCAACACAGCCCTGGGACTCAGCAGAGCCCTGTAGCACAACCAGCCCCTCCACAGCCTCTACAGACTCAAGGACATGAAAACAGGTAAGGCAAGAATCGTTGGCTCTTGGTTCCAATGGGAAGGTGGGAAGAGCTTATTGGGCTGAAACTCAGCTTGACTTAACACTTTGGTTGGTATGAAGAAATATTTCCATTCATAGAATAGGAAAGGGGTGGGCGGAGTTAAACAAGTCCTTAGCCTAGAATCCGTACATTCCCACAAACGATTTAAGTTCAACCCCTCCTGAATTCCACTGACTCTTCTCTGGTGCCAGTTTAGAGTTGAACTTTCGTTGACTAGATTCTCTTGCACAGGTACTCCTTGACTTACAACCATTCATTTAATGACAGTTCAAAGTTACAACAGCACTGAAAAAAAGTGACTGATGACTGTTTTCTCATGACGGTTGCAGCATCCCCATGGTCAAAATTTGAATGCTTGGCAACTGACTCATATTTACGACAGTTGCAGTCTCCCGGGGTCACGTGATCCCCTTTTGCAGTCTTCTGACAAGTAAATTCAAGGGAAAGCCAGATTCACCATGTTACTAACTTAACAACCGTGGCAAGAAAAGCTATAAAACGGGGCCAAAACCCATTTAACAATTGTCTTGTTTAGCAACGGAAATTGTGGGCTCAATTGTGGTCGTAAGTCGAGGACTACCTATGCAGGCTTGAGCAATAAATCCTCTGAGCTGCAACGTAACATATGGTTCTGAGTCTTTGCCTCTGACACATAGGCTGGTTTTATGTTCTCTGCCTCTTAAATCTCATCCTGTTGTAAATATTCTCCTAATGCAGGGGTCTTTAAACTTGGCCACTTTAAGACTTGTGGACTTCAACTCCCAGAATTTCTCAGCCAGTCAGGGCTGGCTTAGGAATTCTGGGAGATGAAGTCCACAAGTCTTAAATTGGCCAAGTTTGAACACCCCTGTCCTAGTGCCTCTCCATTTCTGTCCTTACAGCATCTATGTGGTTTTGCACACCAGAGCCATACCTGGTCATCCTACGGACGTCTCAAACACCACTGTCTTAGGATGAGTCTTCTCCTTTTCAGCCAGGGCCCTCCAAATTGAAAATGAAAATGCTGCATGCTTTGATTACTTAGCCAAGCTTAGTGGTACTCGGTTTTACGAGGGCAATTCGGAAATAAGCCTCCGTTTGGTTTCAATGACAGACGCTCGCAGATACAGAACTTGTATTATGCACATTAGAAAAATGCAACATTACATTACTTTACGACATAATCGCCACTCAAATTGAGGCATTTGTCAGCACGTCTTACAAGGTTTGAAAATTCCTTCTGCAAAATAAGTCTCCTGCCTGGGAATGAAGGCACCCTGTATCACAGGGGTGTCAAACTCGCAACGTCACGTGATGTGTCGTGACATATCGCGACTTTTTTTCCATTGCCAGCAATGGGGTGGGCGCGGTTTCGGCATGACGCATCTGGCCCGCGGGCCAGCAGCTTGACACCCCTGCTGTAACAGGAGGAGCACATTGTCATCATTAAAACGGTGTGACGCAAGCCACTGTTCCATTTAAAAAACTGGTTCATTTTCAATTGATCTAGCGGACGAGTCAAATGCAACACAACCTTTGCCTTCCACTCTTCGCTTACTAAAATACTGCGCACAGTGCCATAGGGCGGGCGTCGCTATCCCCACCTATTTCTCGCACATGCTCAAATGGAGGTTTATTTCTGAATTGCACACGTACAATCCAGCAACCTACATTTCATTTCCGGGCATGTGTTTTACAGGTTCGCAATTTAACCAATAACAGAGTGTTCGGGTCCTAATGCCATTGTTCTTTTCTTGTTTAGTTATAGGTCGGAAGTAAAAGCAAGGCAGGATGTCAAACCTGACATTCGGCAACCTCCATTTACAGATTATAGGCAGCCTCCATTGGATTATCGCCATCCGCCAGTATTAGATTACCAGCAATCCCCCCCTTTGGATTACCGGCAACCACCTTTGATAGACTACCGACAGCATTCTCCAGACACAAGGCAGTTCCCCTTATCGGATTACAGACCACCTCAGGTATTTTCCTTCATCAATGTCAACATCTAGATCGAGGATCCAAATAAATCACCAGGTTCACTCCGTTTCTGAAAATCTTACTCTTTATTGAAAACACGGCATGGTACCGTCGAAGCAAAATTAACTCTGAGGTTCCAAGACACTGATTCATAGAAATAAATAATAGTCTCTTTGGCCAAACTCCCGCCTTCTCACATAGCCCCTGTAAACAATTTCACTTTGTTATGGGAACCATCTGCTTTTCCTCAACACCTACTGCAGTGTCCTTGGAAATGGTTCAGGCTCTCTCTGGTCTTCAGCAGAATCATAAAGGTTTCATTTCTCCATCTAAACACTTCTGAAGCATCACCTCCCCCCCCCCAACTCTAATGCAGCAGTTCCCAACCTTTCCTATACCCCGCACCCCTAGAACGCTTCTGATATATTCTCACACCCCTTACAAAAGTTCGAAATAACAGCAAAAAATTATACATATACACTATAAGTATGAAATTTCTGAACCCAAGTTTTTGCACCCCCTGGAATATTGTCTCGCACCCCCAGGGGGTGTGAGTACCCCCTGGTTGGGAACCCCTGCTCTAATGGCAAGTCAAAATGAAGAGTCACGTAGCTGCCAAAGTTTCATTCTTGACAATCAGTGTCACTGGAAAGCTGACAGGCTGGGTTTGAGACCCAGCACCACACAACAGGGTGAGCTTCTGTTCCTTGGTCCTCACTCCTGCCCATCTAGCAGTTCTAAAGCATGCAAATGTGAGTAGATAAATAGGTATTACTTCAGCAGGAAGGTAACAGCGGTCCAAGTGCCTTCAGCGTGTAGCCTTGCTGGACACATAACTGCGGAAGTGTCTTCCGACAATGCTGGCTTCCTCAACTAAGAAACAGAAATGAGCACCACCCCTTATAGTTGGACACGAAACCTTTACCTTTATCTGTTTTGTTAGTTTTTGAGAAAGGTTTCGGTTAAGAAGCAGGACAGAAAACACTAATAAGTAAATGTTTTCTTTCACTTTCTTTGTAAAGTGTGGTGCTATGTGTGAAAGCAAGCTGCAGAAACCCTTCTGTATTTAAAAACACGCCTTCCCAGATACTGCGGCTGAAAGGAATAGCTAATCAAGTCAAATGCTGCTCCTCTTGTTCTTTGGATGGGAGCCACGTCATTTGTGTAAGCAAGAGACCAAGAGGGTCACTTTTACACATGTATAATCTAAGCAGTTCCACCCACAGATTGGCTAAATATAAACTCTGCGGAACGACTGTGCAAATATTGCCACTTTTTTCATCCCCTTTGACAGATCAATTCTTCTGGTAATTAGAAAATCATTTTTAAAACCCACAAAGGCGCTCAAGCAAAAAAAAAACCCCGACTGTTGGTTCAGCAGCTCGTACCTTATGTATCTGTTTGCGTTGCTGTTTGAGCTGTCCAAACAGACATTATCCGCACATAAATTGCACAGATGCCCAGATTCTGACATGCTCACCCACTCCAGCAAGGTTATACTGAGACATCTTCCCTCAAGACACAGATTTAATAAGCATAGAGTGTCAGCCAAATATATATAATGTGTGTGTGTATGTATGAAAGTGTGTGTGTGTGTGTGTGTGTTATATAATCCCTTAATTCAGGGTAGAGTCAGGGTGACCGGATGGAGCTGAGCGTTTACTGGCTGGATGCGCTTCCTGACACCTATGTGGAGTTCACAGCAGATAGAGAAACATCTGCCACTACCTAAGATTAAACTCTTAACCTTCTGAGTGGGAGGTAAGGTCCTCACCACTAGGCCACCAGGCCACTCAACAAAATCATAAACATTTTATCTTATATAAGCGACATATCCACAATACAAAAAAAAAAAATAGGACAATACTTTCAGTTTAGAACAGTGTTTCTCAACCTTGACAATTTTAAGGCATGTGGACTTCAACTCCCAGAATTCCACAGCCAGCACTGCTGGCTGTGGAATTCTGGGAGTTGAAGTCCACATGCCTTAAATTTGTCAAGGTTGAGAAACACTGGTTTAGAACGAATACAGAGAAGAGAAACCAAGGTGATAAGGGGTCTAAAGGCTAAATCCTATGAAGAATGGCTAAAAGAAGGAAGGACAGGTTTAGGTTAAGGAAGAGAAGATTGAGGAGAGATGTAATAGCAATACTTGAAGGGCTACTACAGGAAAGACGATGCTCAATTTATTCTCCAACGAGGGCAGGAGACGAAGAAATGGATGGAAGCTCCCCAAAGAGAGCCAACCTGGAAATGAGGTAATTCCTGATAGAACAATTAATCAGTGGAAGAGTTTGCCTTCAGGAGTTGTGGATCCTCCATTGCTGGAGGCTTTCAGTTAACGACTGGACAACCATTTCTCTAGGATGGGCAGATGGTTAAACAAGAAGAGCTTCCAGCCATATGATTCTGTGATAATTACCCATCTGCCAGTATCTGAACTGTTTTATCTTACGTGTGTTGTCTCCATTCAGATGCGAAAATAAACTATAGCTTGTCTTGACGGAACAGAGACTAGCTGGCCTCTAAATCTTCTATGTTGCCCTCTTCTTTTTTACCTCTGCAACAGCCCTGAAGAAAAAAAGACATGTTTGCTTTAGCTTTTATCGCCCTTTAACCGCTCTATTCTTAATCTAAAATATAAATTCCAGCAAAGTTAACTCAGGATTTGAAGCATCATTGTTTCAGGAAAATTGTACTTGTGATTAGTCATAATTTACCAGCTCCAGAGATTACGGCAAGTTGCAGTGTTACTGAGTTGAAGAAAACAACATCCAACCCAAAGCCGGAGTTTACACTAAGCATATAGCAAGAGCAAGTGCACTTAGACTTATATACCGCTTCACAGTGCTTTACAGCCCTCTCTAAGCGGTTTTACTGAGTCAGTGAATTGCCCCCAACAATCTGGGTCCTCATTTTATCAACCTCGGAAGGGTGGAAGGCTGAGTCAACCTTGAACCGGTCAGGATCGAACTCCTGGCAGTCGGCAGAGTTAGCCTGCAATGCTGCATTCTAACCACTGCACCATCAGGGCTCTTAATGATCTTAATGAGATCCATATGATCGTTTTTTTTTAAAAAAAAAAAACAACCTCTGGTGAATATCTGAATTAAGCATTGTGTTATAAAGAGGTCAATTAGTCTGAGTCTGTGTCCCGTCGTTGACATGGCAATTATCTGAAAGTATTGGCCTCGGTCAAGAAAAACGCTGCCATTTCTTAAAATTGTTAATTTTTCTTCTCTCCCTTGGTTTGTCTAGGATTTTGATTATTTTACTGTGGATTTGGAAAAGGGAGCCAAAGGGTTTGGATTCAGTATTCGTGGAGGGAGAGAATACAAAATGGACCTGTATATCTTGAGATTGGCAGAAGACGGGCCAGCAATAAGAAACGGACGAATGAGGGTAAGGCAGCTTAAGACAGTAAATGCTAACTGATCATGGAAAGCCAGTGGCATTGAGCAAAATTAAGCTTATCTCTCACTAAAAATGCATAGGGTGAAGTATCAGTGCTGGAGCCTGTGCATCCATAACTGTCAGTCTATAAATATGTATATGTAATAAACATAAACATAAATAAACTTTTAATAAATGTGTTAGAGAGGTTGCGATAATGGAGTATGTCTAATCTAGTGAAAAGAAGGACTAGGGGCGACATGATAAGAATGTTCCAATAGGGGCTGCCACAAATAACAGGCGGTCAACCTATTTTCCAAAGCACCTGAAAGCTGAATAAGAAGCAACGGATGGAAACTTAAACAGGGAGAGAAGCAAGCTAGAACTAAGGAGAAATTTCCTGGCAATGAGAATAATTAATCAGTGGAACGACTTGCCTCCAGATGTTGTGGGTGCTCCATCACTCGAGGCCTTTAAGAAGAGACTGGACAGCCATTTGTCTGAAATGGAATATAGTCTCCTGCTTGAGCAGTGGGTTGGACTAGAAAACCTCCAAGATCCCTTTCAACTCTGTTCTTCTATTAATATGATTTTCAAGTTGTTGGGACTTTAAACACTAGGCTGGTAGGGTGTACCTGTCAGGCATAAACAACCCACACTTGCAGGGTTTAAACTAACTACTTTATTATCTTCGGCCTATAATACAGGAATCTGTCTCAGTCTGGCAGCCTATGCCTGGGAACAATTAGATAAGGCTCCAAGGATTTGAGGGGTGTGTGTGTGGACTTGTCCTTTTGTTGTTGCACAGTGAGTCCAAGCTAGTTCCACACTCCCTATCAGACTGGGTAATTCCTAGCAGTACCCTAGATGCAGACTAGGAGTAGGCTGGGTTGACTTCAATGGGCTCCCACCACAATCAATAATTATCTCTTCATTTGTTTGGTGTACAAAATAACGTTGAGGGCTGTGAACCAGATGTTGTGATTGCATAACATTATATACTAATACATTTGCAATGAAGTGTTTTCTTGAGGAGCTAATCTATCCTACAGCATTGATAGACTTCAGAAGAGCAAAACATCAGTATTAGCCATCTGTGTTTTCCCTTCCTTTGTCTCCCCGTCGTTTCGTTTCAAAGGAAAAGCAACGCTCTCCTCGCTGAGCTGATGTGGAAATTAATAAAGTTAAATCACAGAATTAAAAACATGAGCCTCGGTAATGGCACAAAACAATAGTCGTTGCGTGAGGAACACATGAACAGAGCTAAGCAAATCACTGTGGCAGATCAAAGTATCTTCCAAGGAATACAACTACCCCAATGCCGGTCTTTGTAAGGTTTTATTCCTTGTTGTTGTTAGTTGCGAAGTCGTGTCCGACCCATCGCGACCCCATGGACAACGTTCCTCCAGGCCTTCCTGTCCTCTACCATCTTCTGGAGTCCATTTAAGCTCACGCCTACTGCTTCAGGGACTCCCTCCAGCCCCCTCATTCTCTGTCGTCTCCTTCTTCTCTTGCCCTCCATCTTTCCCAGCATCAGGCCCTTCTCCAGTGAGTCCTTCCTTCTCATTAGGTGGCCAAAGGACTTGAGTTTCAACTTCAGGATCTTCTAAAGCGCAGTCCTGCCAAGATGCAATTTTTTTCCTCTTTAGCTGGAGCCACTATTACCAAAGTACCTGTTTGAAGATGGAAAGACAACTTTATAATTAGGAACCTTCGGGAGCAGGAATTGGGAATGTTTAAATTGAGGAGAAGGATATGAGACTGTCTTAATATAGCTAAATGGATATCCGCCAAAAGACAATCAAGACTTGTTTTGTATTGCCCCAGAACATGGAGCGATTTATTTAAATTAAAGGGAGGCGGATTCTGATTAAATATTAGAGGGGGGGGAGAACCCCATCCTAAAGTAGAAGCAATTTAGTTAGAGGAACCAACCCTCCAGACAGATGGCATTTTCTTGTTCGCTGGGTGTTCAGGTAGAGATGGGATAAGTTTTAATTTGAATCCCTCATTAAACAGGAGGCTGGGCAGCTGACATGGCAGTTTTCAGTGCTCATGAAAAGATTCTATGAGAAACTCTGAATTCAGAAGTTTTAAGCGTCCCGTTTTTCAGTTCTTCTGATCAGCAAGGGGTTTACCTGACACCATTCGCCATTGCTAAAGGTTCTCCCATTAATGTATCATTGCCTCGTCTTTGAAAGCAAATCTTCATTTGTGACATTTTCCCGTTGATAAATTATGGTCCAAAATTCAGTGAGAGTCATTTGCTTTCGGGTCTGCCCACTGTGAAGGAATAACCCAGTCCTAATGATCTGAGTTGCATATGATCTCAAAACGTACAACATTTCAGCTAGATCTGGAAGAAAAAGAGGGACGTTTTTTAACAAATGGTTTGCCTTGTAAACGTCTCCACAGCAAGCATCCATCGACGGATCCATTTTATCCCTTAAAAGCCTCAAATTTGCTATCCACCGACGGATCCATTTTATCCCTTAAAAGCTCCAAATTTGCCATGCTACAAAATAAAGCTGCGATATTTGGGCACACCTGTTCTAAGGGTATCACTTTGTTCAGATCCCTAGTAGCTAAGATAGGCCCTGAGCAATTTGATGGAATTATGTTTTATAATTAAAGGAATTGGGTATGTCTAGTTTAATGAAAAGAAGGACTAGCAGTCTTCCAATATATCTCAGGGGCTGCCACAAAGAAGAGGAGGGGGTCAACCTCTTCACCAAAGCACCTGAGGGCAGGACAAGAAGCAACGGATGGAAATTAATCAACTAACCTTGAACGAAGGAGAAATTTCCTGACAACGAGAACAATTAATCAGTGGAACGGCTTGCCTTCAGATGTTGTGGGTCTCCATCACTGAAAGTTTTTAAGAAGAGCCATTTGTCTGGAATGGTATAGGACTTCTGCTTGAGTAGAGGGTTGGACTAGATGACCTCCAAGGTCCCTTCCACTTTCGTTATTTTGTTATTCTGAGAGAATGTCAGCAGTATTAACGTTTATTGCCAGCAATGTTTTATATTTTCAGACCTTTGGGTAGTTTGGACCGCCTAAGTTCCTTCCAACTCTGTTATTCTATTATAATTAAGCAAAAAAAGTAATTAATTAGCACACTAAACATTATTTAGGAATTCATTCTGGGTTCCAGTGGCTTCCGTTAAGGCTTCGTTTGGGCTACATTCTGAATTTAAAGTGGAATCTCCTTCTCGTCAATCTCAATTCCCATTGCCAAGTCTTTGGTCATCTTTTTTTTATTCTAAAGCATTTGGAAGACATGAAACTAATTCTCTACTGCATTCTTCTTTATCTACTCTTAATAAAATAGGCATTAGCTTTTGATGGATCAGAATCCTAAAGCTCTAGTAACATAATACATGGCAGTAAGACATAAGTGGAATAATAGATAAAGTAGATAAATGCAATTTCTTGAGGGCACTTGAATTGATTTCAGCTGCATATTTTATTTCATCTTAATAAGAAACAAATGGAACATCTATTATATAGCCTATTTTCAAAAACGGTTTAGCTCTTATAGTCAAAGAAACCTAAACAGAAAGGAAAGGACTTCTTCTTTTACACTTTTGATTAATTTTATTCTTTAAAACATGCAAGTCAGCTTGTCTAGCTGCAAGTATGTTCATAATTCATGGAAAATTACCTCCAAAAAAGAAAGTCAGGCTATTAATCTGTTTTAATCAGGCTGAATTCAATTTTTTATTTTTATATTTTAAAAATGATAATGTTGTTAAATTAATGTGGTTAAATCTGAATTATCTATAAGAGTACATACATTTTTTCCCCTCTATGGAATGAATTAGCATAGCTTATTGATGCATTATGCAAACATTTCTGGAATATATTTTTGAAGAAAATTACAACTCATAAAATAAAGAGTCATCCAGAATCTCGATGTAAATCTTCTGTTAACAGAACAGTGTAGGTCAAAATGCATATTGGTTTATTCTTTTACATAATTTAGATGGCCACCTAAAATATATTGCTGCTTCACAATTTCAGGAGCATTCATTGATTCAGGATCAATCAAATGACAGTGTTACCCAGATTTATTAAAAATTGAAGTCCAATCATTTCCCTAGGATTACACAAAGGACAGCTTGTGGGGGCTCCGTCATTGGAGGTTTTCAAAGAGACTGGACAACCATTTATCTGAAATGGTCTAGTGCAGGCGTAGGCAACCTTGGCTCTTTTATGACTCATGGACTTCAACTCCCAGAATTCCTGAGCCAGCCACGCTAAGGGAAAAGGGAGAGGTTTCCAAGCTGAGCCATGCTGGCTGAGGAATTCTGGGAGTTGAAGTCCACGAGTCATAAAAGAGCCAAGGTTGCCTACCCCTGATCTAGGGCCTTTCACTTGAGCAGGGGGTCAGACTAGAAGACCTTCAAGATTCCTTCCAACTCTGTTACTCTATGTTCTGGGTTCTCTGTTCTATGACATGGGGCCTTCCTAAACTTCTTGCTTCCGAGATAATTCCTCTACTTTTTTTTTTAAAGCATTCCTAGTTAAGGAAAATCATCCAAATAAAGTTTAATTATCCTACTTGGACAAGAAACTGCTGGTTTATGTCCACTAATTTTAACATCAATAGTATACAAATAATGAGATAATGGGATGCAGCTTAAGACACAAAATCCACAAAAGAACTATCATTGCTTTGTTCTGTTGCTTAATTTGTAAGGCTCTAACCAGCTCACTGCAGGCTTAGTACCAAACTACACCCTAGGACAGGGGTAGGCAACCTTGGCTCTTTTATGACTCGTGGACTTCAACTCCCAGAATTCCTGAACCAGCCGAGCTGAGGGGAAAGGGAGAGGTTTCCATGCTGAGCCATGCTGGCTCAGGAATTCTGGGAGTTGAAGTCCACAAGTCTTAAAGTTGCCAAGGTTGAGGACCCCTGATATAGGGCAGGGGTGGGGAACCTTGGCTCTTTTATGACTCGTGGACTTCAAATCCCAGAATTCCTGAGCCAGCCATGCTGGGGGGAAAGGGAGAGGTTTCCAAGCTGAGCCATGCTGGCTCAGGAATTCTGGGAGTTGAAGTCCACCAATCATAAAAGAGGCAAGGTTGCCCACCCCTGCCCTAGGACATAATGTAGCCCTATTCTCCTTTGTCCCCATTATATATAGCACTGAACAAGAATAGCATGGATTCCTCCTAATAATAAAGACTCGGGGTGCTTTCCACACTTTAGCGTTTGTGATCCTTAACAACCCCTGAAGGAATGGAGCCATCGCTTCATTCAGGCTATCTAGAACAGGGTGAGCAACCTGCTGATGGTCAGAAGGAGCCAAAGACTTGGGACCTCTGGTGTGACAATAATGCAGAGCACAGGAGTCAGTCAACAATGATTTTTCACTCTCAGAGTCATTAAATTGATGTCTAAATTGGATAAATATTTCCGAACGCAGATACTTTTAATCCGTTTTTTCCATCTCATAATGGCTGGGTCGCAAACAGAGCTACTACTATTTGTAGTTCAGGGTTCAACTGTATGGGTCTTGGTGCTCTCCAAGCTTGGTGATTTTAGAACGGAACAGAACAACAGAGTTGGAAGGGACCTTGGAGGTCATCTAGTCCAACCCCCTGCTCAAGCAGGAGACCCTCTGCCATTTCAGACAAATGGCTGTCCAATCTCTTCTTACAAGCTTCCAATGATGGAGTAGTACAGAGTAGTTGTAGTATTTGAGCTGGGTCATAAAACCATGCTAACTTAACCTTGAGGAGGTAACTTATGTGTAGTTTTTGTTATGAGCCCACGTGTGAGCAGACTCTCCCAAACACCACAAGTGGCCTTGCTCTCTCTTTCCGTCAATGAGAAGGATGGGGGAAGGAAAAGATACCCAAACAATTTGTCTAGAAATTACAGTCCACATTTAGAAAGACAATGTCATTTTCTGCACAGGCAATTAGACTGTTCCAGGAGCTTTAATTATGGAAATGCATTAAATTGGCAGACAACGGTACCCTGGGTGCACAATCAGAGGCTGTTTTGATCATTAAAAGTTGCCACTTAACAGAGGCTGGAAGCCCACGCATATAATTACATTTTGTTCTGATGTGGCCGGGAAATAGTCCACCTGGAATGAATTTGGGCGATTGGCCGAACTTTGCTCATTCAGGAATGACATGCAGCATCTTTGGTTTAAAGTTTAAACTTTAAATGAAGCTTGGGTAATTATTGTGAATTATTTGGAAACATCTGAGGTGAACCAGGGACATCGGCTGAAAATATTTACAGAGATGTTAAAATCAACGGGTCTGTTTTGTGTTTCAGGGCTATTGGAGGGGCAGGGTTTTCATTTATTATTCTTTAGGGAAGATGAGAACATGATAGAAGAGAAGCAAACATATATACACAGCCCACATAATGATATATAAAACTTCTATGGGGATATGGCAGTGGCCTCATAACTTAATATACAATTCAGTATCCAGACTATCGCCTCTGGATCTTCTACGGAACCAGAGAATGCACATTGTGGGCAATCATGCACAATATGTTTGCATATTAGCACCACAGTCACGACAACGGGAAGAAGAATAGAGTAGAGTAGAGTAGAGTAGAGTAGAGTAGAGTAGAATAGAATAGAATAGAATAGAATAGAATAGAATAGAATAGAATAGAATAGAATAGAATAGAATAGATATTGGAATATAGAATAGAATGGAATGGAGTAGAGTAGAGTAGAGTAGAGTAGAGTAGAGTAGAGAGTAGAGTAGAGTAGAGTAGAGTATGGAATGGAGTAGAGTAGAGTAGAACAGAACAGAACAGAACAGAATAGATACTGGAATATAGAATAGAATAGAATGGAATGGAGTAGAGTAGAGTGTAGAGTAGAGTAGAGTATGGAATGGAGTTGAATAAAATAGAATAGAATAGAATAGAATAGAATAGAATAGAATAGAATAGAATAGAATAGAATAGAATAGAATAGAATAGAATAGAATAGAATAGATATTGGAATATAGAATAGAATGGAATGGAATGGAATGGAGTAGAGTGTAGAGTAGAGTAGAGTAGAGTATGGAACGGAGTAGAGTAGAGTAAATAGAATAGAATAGAATAGAATAGAATAGAATAGAATAGAATAGAATAGAATAGAATATTAGCATTATATCTATCGGTAGCTCTACACGTACAGAGTAGTGTAAGTATGCTTGGAATAAAAATGTGTTTTGGTTTTGCTTGCAATACACAGATCAAAAGTATACCATTACAGTCCTTGCCGATAGCATGTTTGCTCTGCCTTGTGCTGAGAATTTTTTTTTTTTTTTGTGCGTCTCATGAAATGCAAACAAAATGCCAGAAAAAAATGTGACCAGGAAGCTGGAACTGCCTTGCATCAGTAAAGGTTGCTTGGCTGGGAAGATCTGGCTTGTTAAAGAGAGTCAATAGACATTTCTTGATCGTATTGAGAGGACTCCATCAGAACAGTATAAATGATTTGCCTACATATAGAAGAAATATTTTTAAGGACCTCTAAATGTTTGCCTCCCCTCCAAGTACCCTTTATTCTAATGGTTTCTTAAAGATTTACATTTTTCTTTGTAATTAGCCTATCAATAATCGTGTCATTTAGATGTTCCCTCCGAATATTATCTGCTCATTATTGTCAGAAATCCAGCTGCCCAATTTCATAGCTCAGTGCATGGCTGATGAATCTGAATTAAGCTGAATGGCGGCCACACTTCCTTCTGAATGCAAAAACAAAAGGAAAGGAAAGTGTAATTAAGATGCAACTTACGCTGGACTCGCAGAATTGCAGAAGGGCGGTGCATGCAAACAGGCCCTTCAAGTGTATGTACCACTGAAACACAATTGTTGATTCGGGGAAACGCAAACGGGGTGGAACAATATGTTTATTTAAAGAGATTCTGAACGCTTCAATTGATCAATCAGAGTAGAGCTGGAAGGGACCTTGAAGGTCTTCTACTCAAGCAGGAGACCCTATACCATTTCTGAGAAGTCTCTTCTTAAAAACCTCCAGTGATGAAGCACTGGAACTTCACAACTTCTGAAGGCAAACCATTCCACTGATTAATTGTTCTCACTGTCAGGAAATTTCTCCTTAATTCCAGGTTGCTTCTCTCCTGGATTTGTTTCCATCCGTTGCTTCTTATCCTGCCTTCAGGTGCTTTGGAGAATAGCTTGACTCCCTCTTCTTTGGGGCAGCCCCTCAGATACTGGAAGACTGCTATCAGGTCACCCATAGTCCTTCTTTTCTCTAACTAGCTATACCCAGTTCCTGCTAGCGTTCTTCATATGTTCTTCATATTCTACTCAGTGATTATTCTTTCTGCATTTGTGAGATGTCTTAACTTCATTTTCAGAAACAGACTGAGGCTGCAGCTCTACACACTTTTAAATTGGGGACTCGGCCACCACATAATAGATTCCTGAGGTTTATTTATTTATTTATGAGACTTATATACCGCTTTAAGTGCAAGCACTCTCTAAGCGGTGTACACCAGTAAGCAATGTATATATATATTTACATTGCCCCCAACAATCTGGGTCCTCATTTTACCTACCCCGGAAGGATGGAAGGCTGAGTCAACCTTGAGCCGGTGAGATTTGAACCGCTGACCTGCTGAACACAGTCAGCTAAAGTGGCCTGCAGTACTGCACTCTAACTGCTGCGCCACCTTGGTTCCAATTACAGTCCTGAGGTCATTGCAATGTAAATAGTTTTGCAGAACTCAAAGGGGTGGATTGGATGAGGGCTGGACCAAGACTAGGAACATTCAAATTCAAGAATATTGCAATCGGCTTTGACCACCATGCTATAAAAAAGATCTTGAGACTCTAGAAAGAGTGCAGAGAAGAGCAACAAAGATGACTTAGGAGACTGGAGGCTACAACATATGAAGAATGGTGGCTGGAATTGGGCTTGTCTAGTTTAATGAAAAGAAGGATGAGGGATGACAGGATAGCAGTCTTCCAATATCTCAGGGGCTGCCTCAAAGAAGAGGGAGTCAAGCTATTCTCCAAAGCACCAGAGGGCAGGACAAGAAGCAACGGATGGAAACTAACCAAAGAGAGAAGCAACCTAGAATTAAGGAGACATTTCCTGACAATGGGAGCAATTAATCAGCCTCTAGAAGTTGTCGAGGCTCCAATATTGAAGGTTTTTAAGAAAAGAGTGGACAACCATTTTCTGAAATAGTATAGGGTCTCCTGCTTGAGCTGGGGGGGTGGACTAGAAGACCTCCAAGGTCCCTTCCGTTACTCTGTTAAGTCAGTTCTGGAAGATCACGAGGTGACTCGGCAAGTTTGTCTCTTTTCGGCCAGTTTCCTCCACCAAATTGTGGCTCCCAAGATTAAAATGAAGGGAAATCCTTTTTTTGCTCTCTGGAAGATTCACCTTGGATGTGAGACTCTAAGTAGCCACAATAAGAAAGAAGAGGAGGGGCAGGTAGACTGAGATACGTAGAACTTTCATTCGTTAAGCAGCAGGGCGAAAACCCAGATTCAATGAACTTAGCAGTGTGTGAATTAATCGCTGTGGTGCTCCTGCGTGAAATGCTGTGTCTACGAGGACTAACGTCGTTCCCTTTTTGTCCCAACCTGGCAGGTGGGCGACCAAATTATTGAAATCAACGGGGAAAGTACAAGAGACATGACCCACGCCAGAGCAATAGAACTCATCAAATCCGGTGGCCGAAGAGTACGGTTGTTACTAAAACGTGGAACTGGACAGGTCCCAGAATATGGTAGGTTTCCTCTTTTTTGTTTTTTGTTTTTTTCATTGTCATTGTCGTCGTGGTTGTGGCTGTCAATTTAGTGGTCCTCACATTTCAAAATTGCTGTACTGTGTTTGGTGTTGCACGGAAGTAATTGCTGCAAAAAAGAGGCGGAGGGGAGATGTTTGCTTGTGCAGTGGTGTTTCCTCTTTGTCTCCATCCTGAAGGAACGTTCCAGAAAGGCTCTTAGAGGAATTCATCTTTCTGGAAAATTCTTTCATCCTCTGAGGGGGAAAAAAAATATGGAGGTGGTAGAAGAGAAATCCATTATAAATGGATCTTTCTTCTACCACGTCCATATTTTTTTTCCCAGAAGATGAAAGAATGTTCCAGAAAGACTCTTAGAGGAATTCATCTTTCTGGAACATTCTTTCATCCTCTGGGGAGGAAATATGGAGGTGGTAGAAAAAAGATCCATTATAAATGGATCTTTCTTCTATCATGTCCATATTTTTTTTCCCCCAGAGGATGAAAGAATGTTCCAGAAAGACTCTCAGAAGAATTCATCTTTCTGGAACATTCTTTCATCCTCTGAGGGAAAAAAATATATGGACGTGGTAGAAGAAAGATCCATTATAAATGGATCTTTCTTCTACCACGTCCATATTTTTTTTCCCCAGAGGATGAAAGAATGTTCCAGAAAGACTAATTTCTGACATATGGACCCACTCCTTTCCACCCTATTCCCTGTAGTAAACATTAGTATAGGTAGTTCTCAATTTACAATAACTGAGCCCAAAATTTCTATTGCTAACCAAGACGGTTTTTATGTGAGTTTTGGCCACTTTTACGTCTTTTTTGACCACAATTCTAAGTGAATCAGTGCAATTGTTAAAAACACCGTTGTTAAGTGAATCTGGCTTCCCCATTGCCTTTGTTTGTCAGAAGGTTGCAAAAGGGGGTCACGTGACCCCGGGACACTGCGACCGTCGTAAAATTCTGAATTTTGATCATGTGACCATGGGGATGCTGCAATGGCCATAAGTGTGAAAAACGGTCATAAGTCCCTTTTTTCAATGCTATTGTAACTTTAAACAGTCACTAAATGAACTGTTGTAAGTCAAGAATTACTTGTACTACTACACCAAACTGGTGCAGTATTATTCTTGCTGAGATACATGTTTTTCTTATATGATTATATGCTTCTTATTTTGGCAAAATAAATACCATTACAAGGGCACTCAATTTGACACTCCCGCCTACCAAATTGTCATTAAATGCATCATTACGGAGCAGAGGATACCTTAACTACACAGAGGCATCCTGTTATTCTTAGGATGTTTTTTTTTAATGACTAAATCACTCCCACTCCCTTTTTTTCCACTAACAAATTTGCATATAAATTTATTGGGGAAAAGCCTGCAGGTTAGTTGGCTGCTGACGCAAGTCCTTTCTACGATCAAATATTTTGCAAATTTTTTCATGCGCGGAGCTTCCCACAATGCCTATTTTATTTCTGTTTCGTTGCTTGTTAGGAACTTGCTAGACTTGACTTTTCTCTAGTATTTTTATTAGTTTTTATTTCACGAGAGAGTTTTTTTTAATTTGATTTTAATTGCTCCGGCTTTAATGCGCTTTTTTAACGGGAAGAGGAGTAGCAATATACCTTTATCGAATAAAACAAAACAAAAGGAGATCAGCTGCATATGCTATTTTTCCCAGGAGAACTATCTGGAAATTGTTAGTGTTGATTTTCCATGCATGAATGCAGAAAAAAATATATATTCATTTGGGACCTGGTTTCTTCTATGGTGTGATGCATGAGATAATGTTGCTTTTCCTTTGTATGTGGCCTTTTACATGTAAATATCTGCATGCTGCAATGTTAATCATTGTTCTTCCTTTGTCATATTTCATGTGCTAGGCCTCGCAGGGGTAGGCAGCCTTGGCTCTTTTATGACTCGTGGACTTGAACTCCCAGAATTCCTGAGCCAGCATGACTCAGCTTGGAAACCTCTCCCTTTCCCCTCCGCGTGGCTGGCTCAGGAATTCTGGGAGTTGAAGTCCACGAGTCATAAAAGAGCCAAGGTTCCCCACCTCTGCCCTATATCAGGGGTCCTCAACCTTGGCAACTTTAAGACTTCTGGACTTCAACTCCCAGAATTACTGAGCCACCATGGGGGAAACTATGGCCCTTTCATAACTTGTGGACTTCAACTCCCACAATTCCTGAGCCAACATAGCTCAGCTTGGAAACCTCTCCCTTTGCCCTCAGCATGGCTGGCTCAGGGATTCTGGGAGTTGAAGTCACAAATCATAAAAGAGCCAAGGTTGCCTCTCCCTGCGCTAGGGGGTATCTGCAGATTTTTTTCCCAGAGGAAAAAAAAACACCTTGTAAGCTTTGAGTAAATTTCAAATTTCCAATAGCTTTATTGCAATCATTAACCAGCAGAAAAAGAGGAGAAAGTGAGTTGTACTCCTTGACTTATGACCCAAATTTCTGTTGCCAACTGAGACATTTGCTAAGAGACTTTTGCCCCGTTTTACGACCTTCCTTGCCACGGTTGTTAAGTGAATCACTGCAGTTGTTAAGAGAGTAACCCGGTTGTTAAGTGAATCTGGCTTCCCCCATTGACTTTGCTTGTCAGAAGGTCGCAAAAGGGGATCACGTGACACCCCCAGGATGCTGCGACTGTCACACGATCAAAATTGAGACGCTTGGCCACCGACTCGTATTTATGACGGTCTCAGTGTCCCCGGGGTCATGTTGATCCCCTTGTGCGACCTTCTGATGAGCGAAGTCAGTGGGGAAGCCCGATTCACTTAACAACCTGGTTGCTAACTTACCAATTGCCGTGATTCACTTAACAACGGTGGCAAGAAAGGTCGTAAAATGGGGCAAAAGTCATTTAACAAACGTCTCACTTGACAACAGAAATTTTGGGCTCAGTTGTGGCCGTAAGACAAGGACTATCTGTACATAAAAATCCTATTTTAGGTTAAAAAATAGATGTCTGTATATCGACATCTGAAAACATTTAAGAAGTGTGTTTTATTGCTAGTAGCGTTAACCAGGACTGAGATAATTCAGACAAGATTTTATTTTCGTTGTATTTTTCTTCTGATGAGTTTGTTTTATAAAATAAAAAGATGTTGTGTGCAAAGAACAGGGACATTAACACTTCCACAATCAGCTTGCATTTTTATGTGGCCACTGTCTTGGCAGCTGTTTAAGAAAGAAGCAACATTATCTAAGGGCAAATACATGAATGATTTAAACTGTGCATCTCTCTGTTCTAAAATACTCTAATTAAAGGCTCTTAGGACTGATCAGAATTTTTTTAAAAAAACAGGAAGTAATATGAGTTTATTATTATACAATTGTTCAACAAAACTATCATGTGCATTAATCTGGGTTTATTCTATTACAAAAAGGGAGAAGAGAATCGATAAAAATGAAGTCATTTAAAACTTATTCAAACACACACACAGAAAAAAAAATGGGGAATTAAATGCATTTGAAACCCAAATCTCACATAAATTGTCTCAAGTGTGCAAAGCGGGATTAAGAATACTAATGTCTGCCGAGAAGTGTGGGAATCCCTAGAGACTTGTGTTGCTCTCTGCTTCTATAAAATGACATTTAAGTGGAGTTAAAAGGCAATATTGTGCCTGCAGAAAAACAAAGTTGACAGGCTGCCGTGAAAAGAAATATTAAAAAGTGTCCCACAGAAAGTCAAATTCTCCGTGACAATAAGCCATTTATTGTTAAAGGCCATTTCTGGCACCGGCTCCAGTTTTGAAGAAACTTAACGGGCAAAAAAACTGAAGAATTAAAAGTCATTTGATGTTGACTTTCCCACATCAAGTTACGAGGACTGAGCTGGCCAAGAAAAGCTTTTGACAGTCAAACAAAGATGTTTGTTTTGCACCTCAGAAGAGGCAAAAGTATAGATCCAAAGCAGTTAATCTGCAGGGGATTTAAAACATCCCCAAGAAAGGAAGATTATCCATGCTCATCTGCTAATTACAGGTAGTCCTTGAAGACCACAACTGAGCCTCAAATTTCGGTCATTAAATAAGACATTTGTTCAGTGAGTTTTGCCTCCTTTTACGACCTTTCTTGCCACAGTCGTTAGGAGAATCACTGCAGCTGATAAATTAGTATACCCAGTGGTTAAATGAACTTGTGTTCCTCATTGACTTGGCTCGTCCGAAGGTCGCAAAAAGAGATCACACTAGCTTGGGACACTGCAACTGTCGTAAAGACGAGTCAGTTGCCAAGCATCCGAATTTTGATCCCATGGGGATGCTGCAAAGGTCGTAACTATGGAAAACGGTCATAAATCACATATTTCAGTGCCGTTGTAACTTTGAACAGTCGCTAGACAACTATTGTTTAGTCAAGGACTGCCTGTATCTTGGGAAAGAAGGGATCTAAGCATTCTCCTGCCTATTTTCATGTCCTTTCATTTTAATCTTGACTAGTACAAGATCTAAACTAGGGGTCTTCAAACTTGGCCCTTTTATGACTTGTGGACTTCAACTCCCAGAATTCCTCAGCCAGCCATGCTGAGGGAAAAGGGAGAGGTTTCCATGCTGAGCCATATTAGTTGAATTCTGGGAGTTGAAGTCCACAAGTCATAAAAAGGCCAAGTTTGAAGACCCCTCCCAGAATTCCTCAGCCAGGCATGCTGGCTGAGGAATTCTGGGAATTGAAGTCCACAAGTCATAAAGGGACCGAGTTTGAAGACCCTTCCCAGAATTCCTCAGCCAGGCATGCTGGCTGAGGAATTCTGGGAGTTGAAGTCCACAAGTCATAAAGGGGCCAAGTTTAAAGACGCCTGATCTAAACACACAGGCCTAATGCAGCTCACTTCCTGAGCTCTGAGGATGATGGGAAGTTTTTGAAATGAAATTATGAGTTCATCAACAGGAAAAGTGAGACTAGAATTGAGAACTGGTTACTATTTTAAATTAATGCCAGTTGGATGATGATGGTTAAGGTACCAAGCTAGAAACGGGGGCAT